CTGGAAAGGCAGGTCGGGGCCACACTTCGAAGGTTCTTAAATGCCATGCTAAGGGCTATTAAACATTCTGCCCTACTGTCTACCTATGTGACTGTTTTTCTGATCTTTTCTCTTAGGTTAGAAACTGGGGAACATGACAGTTTTCTTCTTTTCCACTCTTTTCCTTTCACTAAAAATTCATTCTCATCTTCAGATCCAATGGATTGGAAGCATGATTTCTTATAACAAAATTCCACTACAACAAAATAATAGAAGACTAAGTCAAATATTGGGGCCAGACTTTTCCTGTCTCTGAAAATATCAGTTTATGGAGTGAGACTATTCAAGTCAATGACATAGTGATACCTTCTGTTATTATAGGAAGTCTATATTTGGCACGTTTAGGGGAAAAAAAAGACTGACTCCTTTTTTTCCCCCAGTTAATCATGGTAGTCGGAATTTTTCAGTAATAACACTAATTAATGCCTGGAGTCTGCATTGCCCTTTCTGATTTTCAAAGCACTTTTTCTGTGCGCATTGTCTCATTTAATCCTCATAATAGTCCCATGGGAAAGACAGAATTATTCTTGTCCTCTCTTTACAGAGGGGAAAACCAAGGCTCAGGGCGCTTCTTTAACTGGAGCCCAAGCTTCCTAATTCCTTTGACTTTGCTATGCTGCCTCTCCGAAATATGCTAATACGGTTCTAACCCAGGTTCTAAATTAGAAGCAATCCTCTTTTTTTGAGCTGGATTTTTACTGGTGTGAATCATCCTGTTTTCCTCACCCACTGGACTTTGTCTCTTTGAAGCAGATTGAACAGCCTCGGAGGCCCAGGATGGGGAGGCCTCGGAGTGTGGCTGGCTCCTTCTCCCCGCCTGCACGGAAATGCTCAGAGATGTCGTTCTCTTCTTTTTTAGCCAAAATGTAATCCATGTACCTAGTAAAAGATTCAGATAGTGTAAAAAGGTTTAGGGGGAAGAGTAAGTTCCCGCCCACCCGAGCCTTCTAGTCCCTTCCCCCAGACAAACTGAGTAACACTGGTTTCTTGTGTGTCCTCTTCCAACACACATGGGAGGGTACCATAACTGTCCCGCTCTCATTAAGAGTACGGCAGAGATTTTTATACAGCAGTGCATGCTGCGAGACCTCCTTCTTTTCAATAGCTGCTTAGCATTCCTTTGCCTGACAGTCCATAATTTATTTAACCTGTCTCCTGCTGATGGTCGTGCAGGTCATTTCTAGTCTTTTCCAGTTAACAACAAGGTTTCACCGAACATGTTTGTACATGGATCTTTGTGCACCCGTATAAGTATGCTTGGAGGATAAATTACTAGGAGAGGAATTTATTTTATTTTTAAGACTCCTAGTATTGAATATTCCACAGACTTCCTTAGTAACCCACTTCACTGCCTAGTATCCTTTTGGGGGAAGTTCTGACCTAAATCATACTTGCTAGAAAATAGAGTTTTTGTTCTCAGGCTTTGGCTTTAAAGAAAATGAAACACCCTGTTGCCGCTGCCTGTTTAATGGCCTGTGTTTGGAAAGCGTTATTGAGTTACCTGCGCTCTAGCTTTACTTCTCCAGGTTGGGAAAATCTTAGCTTCCTTTCCTCCAGGTTCCACTTACAGATTTATAGTCACTGTTATTCCTTGCATGAAGACCATCTCTCACTTCTCCAGAATGGGCTGAGGATCTCAGTGGCATCACTGTGGTGCGTTTGGAGTGCATCTGAGCATGGCTTTGTTACGTGGGGATGACACCGTCCCCAGAACTGGTGTCTCTGTCAACTCGGCTGAACTGGAAAATGGTCTATGTGACCCCCACGCCACCCCACTCAGGGGTGCTGTTCGAAATACTTAACAATCCAGAAGAGATGGGGGCCCCAGTCAGTCTCCCCGGGCGCTGGCCCTAGTGCTGAAACAGGATGATGCTGGAGGTCCCTGCTGAGCCAGGCTCTACCCTGAAGGAGGGGCGGCATGGATAGTAGGTCATGAGGCCTTGGAAGTTCAAGACAGCACCAATTATCTAACCAATATGGAGATATTTCAGTGTTTCAACCACCAGTATGGCCTCACAGGGGCGTGCCCGCTGCCCATCAGCCCTCGTTCTCTCTGGGAAGACTTGTGAGATGTGATGTGGTTTAATAAAAACCCAGTGGCTACAGAGTCGGGGACCAGGTTTGCATCATACTTGGGCTTCTTATTAGCTCTACAACCTTCAACAAGACGCTAACACCTTTCTCGCCCCCAAAGGAAAGAGTCTGCACCATATAATATCTAATGCTGCTTCTTGCTCTAAAATTTGGGGAAATAAAATAAGCGAGGGGGTGGGTTCCAAACTTGAACTATTTTCCTGGCGTTTTATGTTTGTGTCGTAAGGATGCCTTCCCCCCCCCCCCCCCCCAGCTTCCTCATTCCAGATTAGGCAAAGAAACGGATTTGGGGGCAGGATCTGAAAGAAGAGTGACTATTGTTTGTATTAGATGGCATGGGGCACATTATAGAATTGTGGGAAGTTTTGGGTGAAAGAGAGGTTCAAATCCTGATTTGCCCACACTATATTCGTTTGTTCATTCATTCATTTATTCATGCACACATTCACTCACTAAATGTTTATGGAGCCTCTATCAAGTGCTGGGCACTGTTTTGGGCTCTGGGGATGGAATAATGAATAAAGTAACGTCCCTGCTTTCTTGGAGCTTACATTCTAGAGGAAATTGGGCAAGCCACTTAACCTCTTTGGACCTAAATTTTCCTACCTGTCAATTCTTCCATGGTGAATGGCATTGGTACTGTTCCTTCCCATTCTAGTGTCTGTGGGAGCCATCACTAATGAACCATAGTGCTCCAAGCAGCCATAGTCAGTTACTAGGAAATAGCTCATATGTGATCCTGGGCTAGATGAATTCTAAAGTCCTTTCCTGCTCCAAAACTTCATTCTTATTAATTATTTCTAGTTAAATGGGAAGACAATATTATACTGAGGGAAAATTGTAATAGAATTCAAAATCATAAAACTATCGAAGCTATAGATTTTACAAGAAAACCACCATTGCTTTGGTTTTGTTGGATACAAAAAATATGTGTTTTTGTAGAATTATTTTAGATCACTGGGTCTTAGATTTTCCTTCCACAGTCTCCTGCTCAACCCCGCTTTACTTTGATCCCCTGATAAGGGAGAGGCTCATCAACATTCACTTTTAACTCCTTTCATTTTGGAAACCTCCTTTATGAAGGCTCCTTTGACTGGAGTCAGGTTGGGCAGAATCAAATCCTGCTTGTTTTATAAGTGTTTCTACTATACACTAGATAACTCAACAGCAGTCACTACCAGAAGGCCTCCCAGGGGCCTGACGTGGCCATCTGGTCTCTTATGTTCCACTCAACACGATGGAAGCCAAACCAAGGTTGGGCTGGTATCAACCTCTTGGTAAATTTTTTTCCCCAAATTCCAAACACATCCTTGCAGTATTTCCATTTCCATTCCCCCTCCCTGCTCCCGTAACAGACCAGCAAATCCAGTGTGCCCAAATTGAGCTCAAACTGCAAAGAAAAAAAGATTAGAAGTGTTTCTGTTAGAACTGATAGCTTCACTCTTTTGGATTTCCAAATGCATCTTTACCTACAACAAAGCGAGTAGATTTGTGGGCACTGGGGGAAATTTGGCTTCTTGAATTCTATTATAAACATGGGGGTCTGAGACTATGACAACTGTGCTCTCATGATTTCCAAGTTATAATGCATCAGAGGTACCTCTCTCTATAATAAAATATTTTCCCCAGTGGGGAACAAGAGCCGGGTGTCCAGCATCCCAGGCTCCTATAATTTGTGCCAATATTGACATTCGATAACTTGCTCAGAAATCAACTCTTCCCTCTCCAAGAAGCCCCAGAAAATAGAGTATTTCCACCGTTTAATCGTGGACATTTAAACCAAGGAGCATTTTAAGAAAGAGAAAAATGATCTTTATTCCTAGGTTGAGCTCAGTGAATTCTTTTTTCTTTGAAGGGGGGTGGATATAGGAAATAAAAATTTAATATTGGCCTTGTTTAAAGCAGTAAGTATTAAATATAGATGAAATAACTCAGTTCCACCTTACAATTTGTTATGGACATGCCTCCTTTCTGTAGCCACAGAATTCTCCCACATTTGCAAACTACAGTGGAAGGCTCCCTGGTTTGAAGGGATATGGTTAGTAATTTTTGCAGAGGGTGATGTGTTGAATATTGCGGAAAGTCTGTACAGAAGAAAGAAACTGCAAGGTGAAGAGCATGGATTCTGAAACCAACCTGCCTGAGTTTGAATCCCAGGTCCAGCTTATGTTATTATAATCTCCAAGGTTCAGTTTTTTCATCTGATAAATGGGGATACTAACAGAACTTCTTTCGTAAGTTGTAAAATTAAACAAGATTATTCCTGAAATGTGCTTAACATGTTGCCTGGCATATTTTCAGTGTTAAATAAATGTTAGTTACTATTTTGGCAGCTGTGCATCTATTTTCTCATCTGTAGACTGGGGACAATGATGAGGATTAAGTGAATTTATATGTATATTTATAATTATTAAATATTATTTTTTTACAGCAGTGTGGACCAGAGTGAGTGCTGCTGAAATGATAACGTACCGTTATTACACAAATTCAAAATGCTTTCCTTAACGTTAGAAGGGAAGTATATAAAATGATTAAGCACCAAGGACCTGAGCTGCAAACTTGAAATTTGGCTCCACCGCTTATTAGCTCTGTGACCTTAGGCGAGTTGTTTTACGTCTCCATGCCTCGGGCTATTCGTCTGTAGAATGGAGCTAATGATAGATCTCCTTAATAGGGTTGTTATGAAAACTAATTGAGATAGCTCGGTAAAGTGCTTCGCAGATGCCTGGCATATATTCCATGTTCAATAAATGTTTGCTAATAGTTTCAGAGTATTTTATTTAAATATTTGATTGGTGCTAGGCAGAGGGTTCTAGAAAGAATGTGATTTGGGAAGCAATGCTTTTCTGGAGATAATTGAAAGGCAGCCGTCTTGCTGTTTGCAGATGTGGTCACCCTCCTGGGCTTTCTCTATGCTTCCAGTGGAGAAAACACAGGCATTGTGAAGAAGTTCCCGAGGTTTCTGAACCGAGAGCTGGAAGCCACCCGACGCCAGCGGATAGATTACCCAGTGTAAGAACGGGCAGATGATGCGGGCTGGTGGGCGGTGCCCTTTTTATCTGAGGACAGAGCAGGCTAGTGGAACCCCTTAGGAGGAACACCTTTGTAACATGCTTTGGAAAAATATTGAGATCTACAGAACTTAGGCAGAATCTGTGGACCTGAAAACTTCAGAGTATTCTTCAATTATTCTTGCACTGTGCTTTCCTCACTTTGCCTCACACTTCACATGTTGGTCCCAGGAAGGCCATGAGGAGGGGAGGAAGGTGCCGGAGCCTGGCCTCGCCGGGTTTCAGGTGCAGCCAGCCACAGCCAGCACAGATTGCAGCCTTTGCTTTGATTTTTCTTTCTTGGAAGATTGGATGAGCTGCTTAAAAATCTCACAACTTCTGATCTCCTCCATTGATTTCAGCAAAACCCAGATATATTTTTTTCCTTCTGCTGAATTGAAGATGCTGAAAATGTTTCCTGGTTCACCTCAGACTGGATGGATTTAGCAGAGTGATTTAATTCTTCCCATGCTGCTGGCTGTAGAAAGATCTTGAGTCACTTTACTGAGCGTATGTTCTTGCTAAGCTTCCTTGTAATAACTTATCTTCATGAGCTTGCTCAGCTGGGTGGGTCAGGAGGGAGCTGTGTGACACCATCTGCTGGCATATCTTACCACTGATTTGGAGGCCAGATTATAAAACCCAGAATATTCTAAAGGACTTGTTTGGATGTATCCCCCAAAAACCTGGGGCCACTGCCACTTTAACCCAAACTGTGAATTGCTTGCTGGGATAATGAGAGAACTCTATATATTTGTTTTGACCTGGATTCCTGTTTCATGTGCAAAATGCAATTATTCCCAGCTCCTCTTCTTTGAACTGCTGGTCCCTAGCACTCTGTGTGGCAGCAAGCAAGTGTCCAGCAAATATTTGCTGAATGATTGATGGATCACATATCCTGGCTAAATGTGCCCTAGTTAAGTTGACGACTGTGATTTTATCCTCACTTCACAAATCACAGATGTACAATATTTTTTCCCACAAAAATAGCCCCAGTCCAGAAATGGAACAATTAGATTAGATGTTCCATATTGGTCAGCCAGAACTGTGTTACCGAACAACCTAATGTGTGCATTAAAATAGGAGCTGTGTGTCCCAATTAGCATATAGTGATGCCATTTGCAGATTATGACATTTCTCTACCTTCAGGCTTTTATCTTTGAAAGAAACAAAATTGCTCAAAAAGCCCTAATTATGTTTTTTCTTTTAATCATTGAGATTAGAATAACTTCTTTTCAAATCACCTCTTATTAAAATCCAGATTTTTATTCCATGTCTGGCTTTATAAGACTTAATCAAGAATTCCAATGGCAGGCATGTGAGATTCTCAAAGAGGCACAGAAACAGAGTTTTTGGTGCAAGGTAGAATGTCTGCCAGTTTTGTACAATGATGCTTAACTCGTGTCTTTTGCAGTTACTATAACCACCTCCTTTGTCTCAAAAATCAAGCCTTGCAAGCTGATCTCTCATGATGAACATGAAGGCAAATTCGTCCCTTCATTGGAAAGAAAGCAATTTACTTGGTCATTGTTAACTGTAATTACCTGTTCTTAGATGATATCAATCTGCCGAATTTTTTTTCCCCTCTTTCTTACAGGTTTACTGTTTCATTGTGGCTTTATTTACTCCATTATTGCAAGGCCAATCTCTGTGGAATTCTGTACTTTGTTGATTCTAATGAGATGTACGGCACACCCTCTGTATTTCTTACCGAAGAGGGTAAGTACGAAAAAGAACCTTTACAACGATGTTGTAATTTTCTTGTGCTCTGTCTATTGGCAGGTACGTCTGTCTAGAGTAAGGAAGATATTGTCAACGTGGCAGTTCAGCGAGAATGATGGTTTTCAAATGTGGGCTTCAGGTTGAACTTTTTTTCTGGAAGCTTAAAACAAATGTCTTCTTTACAAAGGAATGTACTTACTTATATGTTCTTTTGTTTTTGTTTGAAGAAGATACATGACGTGGTCTGGTAGCTTCTTAGGATAATTGTTGAAAAGGTGTAGCCACTTCATTCCCTCCTAAGTATTTTTTGTCATTTTCATGAGCTTTAATTTTCCTTTTAGGCCACTTGCATATTCAAATGCATCTAGACAAAGGAGAAGACCTCGCTGTAAAAACTAAATTCACCGTACCTTTGAAGGAGTGGTTTAGACTGGATATCTCTTTTAACGGAGGCCAGGTATCTGTATGCATGCTCCAGCACGAATCATACCAGCATCAACACTTAATGTTAAGCATTGCTATAAAGTCAGGGAGCAAGAAAATCTGTAAAAGCAAATTTGTGGTAAATGATGAACTCTTTACAGCTATACACTTTTTCCGTCAAACTTTTATAGCTGTAAGTTTAAATCATAAGAATTCCATCCCATTTAATTAACTTTTAAACTGCTTCTTGCGACCATATTGTGAATGAGTAAATAATATAGCCATCTATGTAGCTGCAATTATCTGAGCAATTCAGCCCTTTTCCCTCAGGGAGACAGGCCTTGTGGAGATAAATGTTAAAATAGCATTGGCCATGTTTATGTAGTGTTATCAGATCTACAACTTATTTTTACAGGAAATTTAGTGGTTAGTTCAGCCAAGAAATGGTTTGACTGTTTTTGGCAGTTGAAACAATTGCTTATGTTTGGCTTTAAACAGACGAACAATAATCAACAAACGTAAGTGATAATTCTGGTGGGACGGAAGGTCTTTATCTACTTCGTACTATAAAACACTGCACAGAACTGTTCCAGACTCTCATAGCACAGATTTTATGGATTATGGCAAATCTGTTGTTATAATGGAATACAATTCCATTTCTCAGCATCCACGATGCCAGAATGCTGCTATTTTTCTGGTTGCTTTATTTTCTCATCAGCTTTTCTTATTGATTTGTGATTTTCTGGTAAGAAAACTAAAAGAGATGTTTTGTTTGTCTTGTGTATTAGATGATACACAGACTTCCTCAGTGGTTAGGTTTATCACATTTCCTTTTTCTGAAGGGAAGAGAAATCAGGTCAGTCCTTGTTGCTTTCCTGAGAAGAGTCTGGGAAATGTTAGCTGGGGTGTTTTATATGTTTGTTTGTTTCCTGAAAGATGTTCGGTGACGTAGCTGTGGTCCACATTTTAGCTTCTCGTTTACGTGAGGGTTAAGATGGCGTTATAGTTGGGTTACTGCTTTCTCCTAAGGAGAAGGTCAGCTCAGAGCTGTGTATCACTTAGGCAGGTATCAAATCATCAGAGCAAATCACAGATCTTAGTTTATACCTGCTGTATGCAAGGCAGTTCACTGAAGGAGCTTATAGATTACTTATGGAAGTAACATTAAGCAGGTAAAGGGATGTTGTAAGGTGAGCTTAATTGCCAAATGAGTCATATTGGCTCAGAGGAGACAGCACTTTGAGCTGGGATGCTCAGGGAAGGTTTCAAAGAGAAGATTCCTCTGGATGGGCAGAATCGAGATGGAGAAGAGAAGAAGGGGCATTTTAGCACATCACTGGGGATTAGCACATCAGTCAGTTAGACTGGAGCAGGAATTTGGGGGCTGCAGAAAATTAAGAGAAGAAAACAATTTCTTTATGACTAGAATGTGGAGAATCTTGAGTATCTTGGAATTTAGATTTCTACTTGCAAGGCAGCAGGGCTTCATGGAAGATATTTTAGCAGAAGAAGAGTAAATCAAAGTAGTCCTTTAATTAAAGAGATGAATTTAACAGCAGAGTTCATGGGGTAAAGCAGAAGAAGAGAATTAGGAAGACCAGATAGGGTAGAAAGAAAAAAGAAGTCTGTGTGTATGTATGTATATAATATATTCTTTTTCTTTTTCAGTAGACTTTTGCCATTTGTCCTTCTTTCTTTCCGTCCCAACTGGTCTTCCCAATATATATAAGTTCCAAAACAAAATTTATTGTTTTTCTATACAAAATCCTCCTCAGTGGCGGGACTACCATACTTATTGCTTTGACTCAGTTGACTTAAAATAAATGATTGGTTTAGAGAAACAGTGGGTTTGAGTCCTTTTCTTCTCTGAACCCACATGTTGTCTATGGCTGCGCTGGATGGTTTCATGGGTGAGCTTGTTTTTCACAGACACAGTGTTGTAGACACATCTTCGAGAATCTAGTTGGGCCAGCACATGTTTCCTAAACGCTTGCTCTGTGCTAGCATTTGGAGACTAAAAGGAGCCCTTTAACTCCAGGAGCTTATGTTGCAGTCCAGTACCTGAGAAGAACACATGTGACAGCTAACAACACTCACCACAAAACCATTGTCACTGTTAAAATGACAGTGAGGATTCTCAGTGCTTAGAGAAGGAGGGTGGGAAACAGTCGTGCGTGAAGAACATTCAGCATCGAGCTCGTTTTCCCCCTAAGGCTCTCACGGAGTCAGAGCAAAATTTCAAAAACTCCTTGTCGTATCTTACACATTTCCTCGTCTTTCTATGCAACAAGGTTTTAAGCACAATACGCCAAATGAACCTTTGGCTTGACATTTGGAAGTATCTGAAACCCATTGGGGGAAACTGCATTATAGATCTTTCCTACCATGTCAAGTCATTTGGAGAAATCAAATTTCTTAAGTTTTAAAATATACACAGGGCTAGTAAACTGTTCCTTTTATTTTTGCAGAAATTGATCAGGTGAAAAACTCTGCAGCACATTTTATGAGTAATTTATACCCAGACCTGAATTTATGATGTGGGGCATTGAGGTGTAACTGATCCTTGTGTATCTCTCCCAACATAGATAGCAGTGACCACCAGCATTGGACAGGATTTGAAAAGTTACCATAATCAGACCATTAGGTAAGTGTGATCTTTCTTTTTATTGAAAAATTTTGCTGAATGAGGGTCAAGGAATCTTCACGCTTTAGCCCGCAACCCTAACGTTATTCCCAAAGCTCCTTAATCAGCTTTTCCAAGCGTGGCCTGTAGCTAGTCCGCCCTATAGCTAGTCTTTGTACTTTTTTTTCTTTTACTATCCACAAACTCTCCCTGTTTCCCCCACAACCTGTTTTCTAAGTAAGAGAAACTAATCCTCTCTCCAGATCTCATTGTAAATTCTTCCTTTCGTGGCACTTTATATAATTTATTTTCTTTGAAAATTATCTTCCACAAAGGATTCTGAAAAATAAATCAGAGTATTAATGTTGCTTATTGAGAATGATCAGTAACTTTGGCCTAGAATAAAACATAAAAGCAGACAGTCTTCATATTTATGTTGATAATCTAAGTTTGAAATGTATGCAACCATTGATATTGGTATAACTTTTCATCTTTATGTAACCATTCCCTGCAAGAGTTACAGAAACTGAGAATTGGGTCTCTTGCCTTGTATTTCATAATTTTTTAATTTGCTTTGACATCCCTGTGTTATAGGGGGTTCTATGGTGGCAGAACCATGGGGCAATCTTCTTTAGGAACTCAGGATACCACATCAGAGCTTGGTAATATGTATATAATCCAACACTTAAGAGTAAGTCTAAAGGACAGAAACATAAATTGCCAGCTTTGTATGTACGATTTAAATCAATGTATCAGGACTGCTGGGCATGGTGGCTAGGGGATTTGCTCCTCCATCCTTCAGTCATTCCACTACACCAAGCAGAAAGCTGCCGCTCCAGACAGGCTCTGTTCACTCAGAGTCCCCACACAATCCACATTTTCTTGAAAACCAATTATTAAAGGAAGGAAAGCAAAGAGAGAAGGAGACATTGGGACAAAGGGGCATATGCTATGGGTTTTTTTTTTTTTTTCACCATTCCTGTTTACATTTAAGTCAAACTGATTTCTTTTATGCCCTGGGTATGTAGAACAATGCTTATTTTCACAGCCGGATTAAAGGATTAGAGTTATATAGAAAGGCTAAAGCAGTGTTATTCCTTAGCCTGCAAAGACAAGGTCAGGCGTGACGTGATAGCTGTATTGTAGCATAGAGGCTGGGGCCGAAGCACGGAGCAGAAGTCTTAAAGCACACCAGGCGGATTTAGACCAGCCAGGAAGAATTCAACAGCTATGAGTTTTGTTATGTAACAGGTGGCCGTGGGCTCTCTGAAGAGTTCAAGAATAGGAAAGGCCTGGGAATTCTCTTTGGAGAAACAGATGATATGTGGCTCCTTTGGAAATCTCTTATCTGCAAGGAAGTCCTGAGAAATTAAGGGTTTGCATTTCAGAACGTGAAATCTAAAATAATGCCTTCCTCTTTCTCCCCTGACACCCACCTCCGACTCCGGGATGTTTTTGACAACTGATTGAATTTCATAGGCTCTTTCTTATTTTCCATGTAAGAGCTTCCTTTCCTCTGAAATCCCAGAAATCTGGATGCTGACAGGAGTGAGTTGTAGATGAGAGACCACAGTGTGATCCAGGGCTGGGACCAGTCTGGGGCGAGAGAGGCATGTGCTTTCTACATGAAGTTTAAGGAGGCATCAGATAAATTCAGTAATTGTATGAGTTTCCTAGAGCTGCTGGAACAAAGTACCACAAACTGACTGGCTGTAACAACAGAAATTTATTGCCTCTTAGTTCTAGAGGCTAGAGGCTGAGAGCAAGGGCTCGGCAGGGCCGTGCTCCCTCTGAAGGCTCCGGGAAGGACCTGTTCTAGGCTTCTCTCTCCAGCTTCTGAGAGTCCCCTAGCCTGTGGCAGTGTAACTCCAGTCTTCACATGGGGTTCTCCCTGTGCGAGTGTCTGTCTTTGTCCAGATTTGCCCTGATCGTAAGGATACCAGTCATACTGGGTTAAGGGCCCACCCTATTCCAGTATGGCCTCATCTGAATTAATTATATCTGCAATGACCCTATTTCCAGATAAGATCCCATTATGCAGTGCTGGGGGTTCGGACTTCAGTATATGAATTTTGCAGGGGGGGAGGGGGGACAGTTTAACTCATAACAGTAATCATGAGAAATTACATTTGGATATAGGCTTTTTAAAAATCAAAATTAATGCAAAGAATCCACGATGAACAAAATGTCAAAATGTTAAGAAAAGACAAAATCGGTGTAGTCATATAAGATTCCAAAGATCAGACCGATTTTCAGGTACGTACCAGTTCAACATCCCCGTGAAAACACAGAAAACTCACCCGGTGATATCGGCAGTCCCCAGATACCGGCAGTCCCCAGACCCAAGGGTGCCCCTCACCCCCACCTCAGTGGCCCTGCCGTCCTCCCAGGCCCTCCTCCAGCATTTAGAACAACCAAAGAGTTAATGCCAGGTCCACTAGGGATTCCTGTGGTCAGATATCTGGAATCCCGCTTTCAGAGTGGGCCAAGCCAGTGAACTAAACATCAGATATTTCAGATGGTTATCGGTGTTCCAGGGAAAGCCTCTCAACGTTCCTTTTTATTTGTTCCTGTCATGTAAACACAATGGTAGCTGTTATCCCACAAATGTGGGGTGGGAAGATCAGTCATTGAGTGCTCAGAAGTGCAGTGCCACACCCGAATGAAAGGCTGTCAGTACCGCTCGGTGACAGGCCACAGCTGCAGACCTGTATGGTGCTGGATTCCTTCGTCTATCCAGTACATCTTCAGTCATCCAACATGCCTACCACATGCCAGACATGCTGCCGGACTCTGGGAATAAAATGCTGAACAGAAAGAATACAGTCAGTCCCTGCCTTCATGGAGCTAAAAAAGTCTCTTAGGGGAGACAGATCTTAACCGAGGAAATTCACAAATAAGTTTAAAATTGCAAATCGTGCTGAATGCTGGGAAGGAAATGAATAAAGTGACTTGAAAGGATAACAGGGGTCAGAATTCAGAGCAGGTATTGGGGAAGTGAGTCAAAGATGAGAATTACTCTGAGAGGTGAGGGTGGCAGCTAATTTGAGTCTCTAAGTTCGCCTACTGGAGAAGCCAGGAGCTGGAGCTATTTCCAGTTCTGAGTGAGGCCTATTTGAGAACGCTGGGTGATTCTTCCGTAATAAACCAGGGCGCTCTCCTGTGTCCAGATGAGAGTAAAGATGGTTTGCCAGCACGTCTGAGATTTTCGAAAGGGAAAGCTTTTATCTCAGCGAAATTGATGGCTATCAAACAAGGCCCAGTGCAAGGAATCTCTTGCAATATTTGTGCAGCCACTGAGAATTTTAGAGGAGAAAAATGTGGAGGCTCGCATGTGGATGGAGGCCAAATTGGAGAGCGCTCCTATTTCATTGTATTATAATAATGATAAAAGCCAAAAATATTACAGTCCACTACCATAGGAACCAAGCACTTTATTGATTAGTAGAAGTCTATTAAAGCGAAGATCCATAAAAAAGATACTTACTGCAAACATTTTATTTTACTTAAAAAAATGGAAATGTACGTTCATTTGCCAGTCTTTCCAGGCAGGGCCTTTCCTTTGAGTATGAATCTACTGATGAAAGTGCCCTGTCGTCTTTCTTGCATAAACAGCACCCAATTTCTGTTTCTTCCAAATGAAAACAAACACACTTGTGAAATAGCACAATCCTTCTAGATTTCCTCAATTTCTTTTTCCAACCTTTTACAGTTGTCTTAATTCCACAACAATTTTTTTAGTAGCCATTCTTTTCTGAGTTTACCCAAAATATCCAACTTAATTTTTATAGAATGAACGACTCTTTCTTCTCCATCCATATTTTATTGGATAACGTAATATTTAATTGAGTTGTACGGTTACAATGACCGTGCAATTGGTATTAACAGGTTTGGGAAGGAACACGTGTTACTCTTACTAAGCATGCAACTCAAGAGATGGCAGCAATGTCCTACAGTGGATTAAGTTACTATTAATAACCATAGTTAACAGTTATGGTGCCTACTATGTGCTAGGCACTGTTCTAAATGCTTTGTTTAAATATTATTTCATTTAATCCTCACAACAACCCTGTAGGTCGGTGCTATTATTATCTCTATTTAAAAAGTGTGGAGACTAGGTCTCTGGAGAGTCGCCTCCAGCCGGCGAGCATCCAGCGTGTTGTGGGGAGGGGCTATCGGGTGAGCTGTTGGGTGGGTGAGCGGAGGCCTGTGAAGGGGCCTTCTACTGCAGAAGCATTGTGCTGAACCCACTGCGTGCCAGGTATTGTCTCATGGGGGTGGTTGGAATGTTCGAGCCTTTCTAAGGTCTTGAAAAACAGAATCAGTTCACAGCTCTCGGAGATAATAACTTTGTGATCTCAGCTGAAAAACGAGAGAAAAAGGGGCTCTCTTCTCATGGCCCTTCAAGCCTGAGATTCTGGAAAGAAAAGTTTCAGGAGATGAAGCACTTCTTTTCCATTTTAGTTGCTTTCACCTAAGGCTGATCTCTTAGTGTTCGCTGTTACTGCCATCAGTGATGTTGTCAGAAGTGCTCATCTCTCCACCTTTTGTCTTCCTCTCCAGCCAGGTGCCCCTGCTGGGGGTCGGGTTCCTCGCTAACAGTCAGTCCATCTGCTCTCCTGGGATGACCCCGGGTTGCTTGGCTTCTCTGATCCAACCGCTGGTAGCTTGCTCTGTCCCCGTTGGCGTCACCCTGGCCTATCACTCTGGCGGCTCGCCAGCTCCTGGCGGCTTGCCTGACAGTTTGTTCTCTTTCCTTCTGCTTCCATCTGCCCTCTGCGCTCCCTGGCTCTTTCCTCTTTGCCTGTTTCTCACTTGATGCCTGGCTTGACCCCTCCTTGCTGTTCACATATGCTCTGATCGCACCTTGCCCACCCATTCCTATTTTAATTTTTGAATAGGTAGGAAATGCACATGGTTTAAAAAATCAAATCTACATGAAAAGATACACAGTTAGATGCCTTACTCCCAGCTCTGCCCCATCTAGTCTGTCCCCTACCCCCCACGCCACAGGGAAACACTTTTATTAGTTTCTTGTATATACTTCTAGAATTTTTCTAATGCAAATACCAAAAAAAAAAAAAAGAACAAAAGCAAACCATTCTTCTTTGTATTGGCTGAAAAATATACTCTTTGTTCTGCACTTTCATTTTACTTTTTTTCACTTAACAATGTATTTTGGAGATTTTTCCAGGTCAGTGCACAGCCCTCTTTTCCCTCTTTTAAAGCCGTATGGTAAAAAAGCTGACATCCAAGGCCCATTGGATGGATGTGGGCGAGTCCTCACTGACAGGCGCCTGGGCTTTCCAGTCTTTGGTGAATAGCAATAATGCTGCAAGGAGCAACTATGTGTATTTTATTCATGCCAACCCATGTTTTTCCTCCATTTTCTTTCCTGAGCCTTCAAGTCTTTCAGGACAAAATAGAATTTGCGAGCATCACCTGTGCTGACCTCTGCTCTTTGACCAAGCCTTTGACCTTTCTGTGGCCTCTTCCTCCTAACTCTGAATTTTACCTCAGTTCTTATCTAATAAGATATGTTTTTAGTTTTCCTCCGCAGCCACCTTCTATCCATTCAATGGGTTTTTTTTCCTTTTAGAGCAAAATACTTCCGATTAAGACCATCAATTCCAAACAATTTCATCAATATCAATAGCCAGCATGTATTAGTATTTGTGGTGAGCCAGGAGCTCTGCTAGGCGCTGTACATCTTTAGAGTTCACTTAATCCTTTTAACAATCCAGTAAGTGAGGAGCTCATTTACTAATGAGAAAACTCAGTCTCAGAGAGGTTAAGTGACTGGTCTAAAGTCACACAGCTGGTAAGTGGCAGAGCTGGGATCCTAACCCAAGTCCACCTGACCCCACTGTGGTCTCATCTGCTAGAACTCAGAGTGAAGAGCTTGTGGAAATTTGGGATTTTAAGTCAAAGGAGGGTCGATAAAAGAATCTCTTTTTAAAAAATCTGGTTCAGCCTCAGAGCTCTCTTAATCCTTTGTTCTTCTCCAGCTTCCGGGAGGATTTCTATTATAATGACACCGATGGGTATTTCATTGTTGGAGGGAGCAGGTATGTGGCCGGCACTGAAGGGTTTTTCGGACCCCTGAAGTACTACCGCCTCCGCTCTCTGCACCCTGCGCAGGTGAGCCCCAGGGATCCATGGGAAATTTTTGGGTGCTCGTGGGTGATGGGCGGGTGGCTCAGGGGCATGTGAAACCCAGTATAAACAAAAGATTTATCCAAGCTGGACCTCACATCGGCTCTGTCATCAAACATAATTGATATTGAGGCTTTTCCCCCAGCAAATGCAATAATAGATTTCTGTTAACGTTTGGTTCATTTAGTACTCATAAAATGGAAACCATTTACTTCCTCTGTTTTAATAACCACTAGTTTAATTATAGAGTAGATTTTTATCAGGCTGTTGCCTATCCAGTGATTAAGCTAATGAAAGGAGAGAATCTTAGTTATTTGGTAAAGCTTCTTTTATATGCTATTATTTAGAGCATCAGAAGAGAAGACGCTCTAGAAGATTAGAGTCCTGGTTCCTTTTGCTGCTCTCCTCTGAAGCGGGCCTTTGGCTCACGCTGGGCTGGGAGGGCTGCGGCTGTAGAGGTCACAGAGGGCTTTGTATTCAGAACTGCGTCTCCTGCACCATGGTTCTCACATCCAGCCCACCCACAGATGGAACTGTCCAGTTCTCCAGGCCAGCTCCAGCAGGGTGGTGCCGGGGGGAGAGAGTTTCCCCACAAGGGGGCCTTCACGGCGGCCGTTTTTTCTGCCTTGGTAAGGAGATCACCAGATTTCTGAACAAGGAGCATTCTCTCATTCCCTGGGCCCTGTGGGGTTTGTTCTGGGAAAAGCGGGAGTCACTAGGCGAAGTCAATTAGGAAAAGCGGGCAGCCCTACCACCCATGGGTGCACCTTAGAGTCCCTATGGAGAGACCTCCAAGAAAAGGAAGGAAATGAAATTCGTTTATTCATTTATACAGCAAATGCTTATTATTCACCAAGATGAATTAAGATGGTAGCTTACAAACTTTTTTTTGAAGTTGGTCCACAATAAGAAATGTATTTAATATCATGAACAGAGCATACATATGCATACATATACACATAATATACGGGGACACATATACGTACATACACTCACATGTATGTGTACATATATATATAACACAAAGCTGAAACCAAAATTGTACTAAGAATACGTACCCTTGCTGTGTTCAATGCAGTCTGATATTTTGTGTTCTGCTTTGTAAAAAAAAAAAAAATCACTGCTGGTTACAACCCACTGAAATAATTTCATTACCCTCCAATGGGTCACAACCTGCATTCTGAAAACCACAGAGTTGAGATCAGGTCTCTGTTCTTCAGGAGCTCCCTGTCTGGACCTTAAACAGATAAGTCATGAAAGACTGCAGTGCCCGCTTTAATTCATATGTGCGCACAGTGTTTGGGGGTGCAGAGGCAGGAGCGTCCGCGCTGGAACACTCCTGAGGGTGAGGTGGGCTGTTAGGGAAACTGAAGCAGCGACCTGGATCTGGCTCTTGGAGGTTGAGTAGGAGGCGGCCAAGCAGAAGAAGATGGGAGGAGCTGGCAGGCAGCAGGCACAGCACTGGTGGACTTGGCGTCCCCTTGGGAACTGGAGAGGAGATGAATGTGATTTTCTGGGGATGGGCTGCAGTGGAGGGAAAGGAGAGAGTGGAGCCTGGTCTCTGGGAAAGCCTGACATTTAAGAAGCTCTTTAGAGGAGAAGATGCCACAAAAAGAAGCTAGAGGGAACCAGCCTGTCCTTGAATTCCTAGTAACACCCTTGCTTTGTGAATCCAGAGTAGATGACCTGTGCACAAATAAGCCACCTGGTGATGTCAGTGGGAGAAGGAAATAACCCGAACGCAGCCTTTGTAGGTATCCATGGGGGTTTGACGACAATCGTTCAGTCGGTTTTCTTGCCTTCTTGTAGATTTCTAATCCCCTCCTTGAGAAGCAACTTGCTGAACAAATCAAGTTATATTATGAAAGATGTGCAGAAGTTCAAGAAATAGTGTCTGTGTATGCATCCACGGTACAGCAAGGGGGCCGGAGACAAGAAGCATGTAAGTATTGAGCAGTTTTTAGCTCAGTGCATTGGTATCGAAACATGTTTGGCTTCTTTCTAACAGGGTTAAAATAGAACATGTATGACTTGGCCAATGGGGACACTTGTGACTGTGAGCCCTCCACAGATGGATGCAAGTGAAAGGGTGCACTCCACCTGGATTCCAGCAAGACCAGCAGCTGAAAGGAACCCGAACCTGCTTCATAGCTTCGACTATCTGTAATTTAGTTTAAGAATACAAATGAGAGTGTTTTGAGTCTCGCATTGCATTATTCCCATTCATAATGGGATCTTAGGCCAGTCTAAGAAAATAAAAATGAATTGGAAAATAAATTAATCATTAGAAATGTTTCCCCATCCGTGCACTTTTGTCTTGGGCCATTAATATCTGAATATTAGCTTTCAGAAACGTTGAACAATGACTTTGTTGTTGGGGGCTCAGTTTTATTTTTTAAATCCTTGAAATTGACTCATTCTGGAAGACATCGGTAATTTTCAACCAAAGGAATGAAATTCAGGTAGATTGCTTTCATGCCTGCTCATATTTGCCTGGACATCCTTTCGCTTCAAACTTGGTCCTGTCTTGTCTTCCAGCTTGGATCTAGCACTCGTAAATTTCTCTGTGCTATAGATCTTCTTGCTTGATATAGTGGCACTAGAGTTAGTCACATATGTTCCTTCTGGAAGAGAAATTCCTGTGAGGCCTTTACCATCAGCAAAAGTAAATTGAGTATTTCAGTCCTGCCCACATATCTCACCATCCCCAGAGCCTAACTTCCCGTTCCAGGCCTTGGTGGATGGATGCATCTCGAACATACCCTAGTCCGATAGGGTTCACGTAAAACTGTCCCAGGCAGTAATTACAGATGGTGACAGGTAAGTGTGGAAAGGCAGAACTTCTACAATTCAGTTTAAAAATAGGCTGTACTGGTCCCCAGCTGCTACTCTCACCATTGAATCATCCAGAAAATACTATGTGTCAGAAGAGGGGGAAGATTTATGGGAATAGTAATGTCCCAAACAGGCAAGAAACCGATTTTGATAACTGATGTAATTTCAGGAGAGATTCGCAGAGTTGGGAGGCCAGCCTTGCATGCTGATCTGTTTGGTGGCACTGGGAAGATTTTTCAAACATCTTCTACTGCCTTCGCTCCCTGGGGATCCTTGGGCTTTGCTCCTTAACTCACATTGCCAACAAAATGGCCTAGATATTGGCCTCCTGGGGACTCGTCCGAGGCCAGCTGCTTATTCTGTAGAATTATTCAACAGCCATCAGCAACTTTGGCACATTTCCCTTGGCCTCGGCTTTGAATTTGTGACCTCGAGGCAAAGGCATCGTAGCTAATTTCACATCCCGAATGCACCCAAACAACATCCAGCAACGTTAATTCTCACCTGTTCTTTCTAGTTCCTCCCAGGCAGAAGGGATTTAGAGAAGTGACACTTGCTCTCTGCTAAGAGGAGTGGCAGCTTGTGCTTCCCTTTCCTGTAGGTGACCTCCAGAACTCCTACCTGGACCTGAAGCGCAGGTATGGGAGCCCGTCGACGTGCAGAGCCTTCCCCTGGGAGAGGGAGCTGAAAGAGAAGCACCCCAGCTTGTTCCAGGCCTTGCTGGAGATGGAGTCGTTGACTGGTAATTGTGTCTTTGCCTCGCTTCCGGACGTTAGTCAGGAAGGCTCCTGTTTTTCCTCTATTTCGCTCACCCTCTTTGGTGACTTGTGCCTCCAAGTTATTTTAACCCTAGTGTTCTAGCTTAATTTCGGATTTAAATTCTACCCTTGTATGTCCACAACTTTCGATATATCTGTGTGCATTTCCAATGCTAAATGCAAAAACTTCAATTTAGGAGTTGCTCGAGCAATTCTTTATTTAAAACCCAGGCCACAAATGAACAGCCCACAGCCGGAGCTGGCCCCCAGATGCAGTTGGTTTGACACCTACGTTGTTGTCATTTTTTAAAAAAATCAGTTACCAGTATCAAAAAACTTGCGTAAAAATGCGTATTTCTAGCTTTTCGCGAAAAATGCAAAGATCTGGCAGTGCTGGGCCTCACTCTGACATGGCAGCGATCCTGGAGGTGAGTGGTCGGCACAGGCACGCTCTGTCCGTCCGCAGCCTCTCCTCTCGCTTTCAGCACCTCCTGCCTGTTCATTCATGGACCTGACCTGCCTGGGCAATGGGCACTTGAACTGGAGACCCCTGCTTTGAACTACGCTTTAAGCAGCATCTCAGGAGTCTGTGTGTACTTCCCAAGTGTGGCCAGCTTCTCCTTAAGCCCATCGAGATTTGGGTTTGCTTGGTAATTAACTACATACGGTAGGGCCACGGGGGATCTTGAAACCATGTCTGTGAGGAAGAGGAGAGAAGCTGGAGGTGTTCAGCCTGGGGAAGGAGATGCCAAGGGGGCCGATGATACCTATCTTTGTGCTTAGGGGAACCCGTGGTATTCCTGGGCATACAACCAGACCCTCAAGTCAAGGCATTGCAGAAACTGACTGCATGTGAGAACTTCCTAAGAATGGCAGTGTCCAACAGGGGAGATTGCCTTTGCAGCTAGTGACCCCCAGCCCTGTCCTGAAAGAAATTAAGCCATATAGGATATTTCATCTTTCCTTCATTTGATAGTTGCTGAGTGACCTCTCAGTTACTTGGCTAGACTTCAGAGATGATTAAAATAACACAAGGTCCCTACCCTTGAGGGACAGACTTGAAAGCAAAGAAAAACGGTAATGCATTTTAATAAAGGCTGTGGAAGTAAATGGTAAAAGAAGGGAGCGATCAGTTCTACCTGATGGGCTGGGGTGTTCAGAGAAGGCTTCCTGGAGGAGGTGACACTGGGACTGATTCTTGAAAGGGCAGTAAGTGTTGGCCAGATAGACAAGGAGGAGGTGGGTATTGCAGGTAGAGTGGAGGGAGAGAGTTGGGAACAGACATGCAAATGGTTTGGGAGGAAGAAGAAGGCCTGGACAGTGATGATTCAACTGGGGCTCAGACACCACCCTGAAGAGTTTTGGCTTTACCTCGTAGGTACAGGGACCTGTTGAAGAGTTTCAAGCAGGAGGGAGAGGTGTGGTCAGATCTAGTCTGTCATCACTGGGAGGTTGGGGGAGGTGAACTAGAGGGGGGTGGAGCTGGAAGCAGGGAGTCCATTGCCATGGTCCAGGAGGAGAGGATGCAGGCCTGGATGGGACAGAGTGATGGAGATGGAGCCAAAGAATGTAAAGAGGTTGGTTCTGAAAGACTCTGTGACTGCCTGGATTCAGGCAGGGACGTCACATGGAGTCATGTGACAGCATAGCCTCTGGACCCAGGTGGCCTGGTTCCAGTTTTAACTTAGCACTTACTAGCTGTGTGATCTTGGGCAAGTTGCTTCATTTCTCTGAGCCTCAGTTTCCTCGTCTGCAAAATGGGGATGATGGTGGTACCGCTCTCCTAGAGCTGGGTTCAAGGAATAGATATATACAGACTTAGAACAGTATCAGTACATCGTGGGCTCCTTGTAAGTAGTATTTCTCAACCTTGGCACTCCTGATGTTTCAGACTGGAGAATTCTTTGTTGTGAAGGGTCTGTCCCATGCACTGTAGGATGTTTAGCTCTTTTTCTGGCTAAACACTACCCACTAGAGACCAGTAGCAGTCTCTCCCCTCTCATGACTCCCCTCTTGAGCTGTGACAACTAAAAATGTCCTCAGACATTGCCAGATGACCCTGAGGAGGCCAGATCACCCCTGGTTGAGAACCCTGCTATGTAAGTGTATGGCTATTAGTCCCGAGCGGGGATAATTCCTAGGTTTTCATTGGTCGTCTGTGGGTGGTGGAGCCACCTCTCAAGACAGACGAACAGGAGAGGGAGATGCGTGTTGGATAGCGTAGGCTAAAGGAGCTAAGACCACGTCCATATCCAAACTGGTTTTATGAGATTTCTGATCGTATTAAATATAGGTTTGCTGACTGGGAACAGGAATGAATCATTTTCACCACACATTCTTTTTTAAGGAAATACTCTCAATAAGAATGTTTTCATGTTATTTTTACAGCTCAGAAGCTTTGTTTATAAGAATTTAGAATTATTTTATTCTCCGCGGAGACCTGGAAATGGAATTTAATTGAAAACCCAAATCACGAGCTCCTGAACCATAAGATGTCCTGTTGTAAGGAGCTGTTAGCATTGCAGCACAGCAACATCTGCTGACCTCCCTTAGGCTTCTGGAGTCTCCACCCTTGCGGGGAGAGAGGACCTGAAAGCCAGATTTGCTATTTGGTGTCGAACCAGCCAGTCGGGTCCTTCTGGTGCTAAGTCTGCTTAGAACAGCACCAAGGAGCGAACCCTGAGGGGCCATACCTGCCACCGTGGCCTCTGCCTCCCTCGGCATGCTGCCACCTGCATTGCTCCTCTCCCTGACATTTCCTGGGGATGGGGAGCCAGCTGGGAGGGAGAGCAGGAGAGGGAGGCGAATCTCCAGAACCAACCTCAAGCCCCCGTTCTGCCTTCAGCCCCTGAGTTTCTGGGTTACACTGCTCAGTCCAGAAGGACTGGGGAGGCTTCTGCGGAGGTTGGACAGACACTCCTCGTTACAATTCATCGCTCTGCCTGGCACACTGCCCTTGCTGGGGGCTATCATGGTGTCCTCCCACGAACCCTGGAGAGAGATTGGTGTTACACATTGTGCCCAGGTTCTCAGAAGACAGAGAGAAATGCAGAAAATTTGATTTTGTAAATTAAAGGTTAAAGAAATGCTTACATTTTTTACGTATCTTTACTCTGGTCTCCTATAAAAAGAATAGCAGGAAGATCGATGTGACTGTGTATCCTCTCCGGGTTCCTCATGTACCCTTCCTTCCAAGTTCATCTTGCTGGAAGTGTCTAGATGGGTTTGGACGACTCTAGTTGATAGGAACTACGTTTGCATAATGTTTTATGCTGCTGCCCTGAGCTTTCTGGCCCGCTTGACTAGTAGACTTTATTAGCACATCTTCATTATATTACATTTTTCATATCTGAGATAAGCTACGAGAATGGACTCAAGTATCAGATGTTTGATACTTGTAATTCTTGCTGTAGAAACTGAATAGGTGCAGTAACAAAGATAAGGAATTTGTGTGAGTAATGTCTTAAGCCTCTCATATCCCAACCTTCCATTTATGCGCTCACTAGACAAGTATTGACTAAGTGCCCCCTCTCATGTTTTGTGCGAGAGTTATTTAGGTAAATAAAAAAAAGTTAGCTCCCATAGTTCCCACAAAGGGAATTATTTTTTCCCTGGCATTTTGAAAAAATAAGACAGCGTGAGACAATAGCCTGTGATCTGTGGTTCTTTGAGACAGAGTTATCTTTTTTCATGGCAGCATCTCTGCATGTATCCGGCCAACTCCACTTGCAGGCCGCTCCACTGCAAGTTGCAGACTTGAGTGTGTTTTTCCCCCTCACTGTGTGGTTTTAGGAAGATCATCTGCTCTCGCTCTAAGCCAACAGTGTGCTTCAAAGGAGCAATGAGAGCACTGTAGGGGGTGGAGAGTCAGAGCTCCGCTTCATCAGCACCCAGTAGGAAGTGTCTAATGGACTGTCCTCTGCCTCCTGGCCTGGTGTGGTCAGGAGTGGTCACCACCTTCCAGTTGTTCCCAAAAGACTGAGCTGTATTTCCCTCCTACAGAAGAGACTGGCCAAATATTTACACCCTCACTCTTTAAGGACTATAATTTAAAAAAGATTTTTTTTGTGTGTTAAAATACACGTAACCTAAAATTGTCCATCTCAACCATTTTTAAGTGTACTCTTCAGCAGTGTTAAGTATATTCACATTGTTGCACAACAGATCTCTAGAACTTTCTCATCTTGCAAAACTGAAACTCTGGACCCATTAAACAACTCCCCATTCTCCCCTACCCCACCCCGGGCACAGGCGACCACCATTCTACTTCTGTCTCTGTGACCTTGACAACTCTAGGTACCTCCTATAAGTGGAATCATACAGTGTTTGTCTTTTTGTGACTGGCTTATTTCACTTAGTGTCAACTCCTCAAGGTTCATCCATGTTGTAGCATGTGTCAGAATCTCCTTCTTTAAGGCTGCATAATATTCCTATACTACATTTTGTTTGTCCACTTATCTGTCAATGGACGCTTTCGCCTCTTCACTATTGTGACTAGTGCTGCTGTGGGCACAGGTGTGGAAATACCTCTTCGAGACTTGTCTTTCAGTTCTTTTGGTTGTATGCTCAGAGATGGGATTGCTGGTTCACATGGTAATATGGTAATTCTATGTTTAATCTTTTGAGGAACCACCTTGAGGTGTAATTTATATACTGGAGAAGTGTGTTTAGTAGTAAATAAGACTGCAGTGCTCTCATAAAGTGACGTAATGTCTATGAAAGAGCTTCATGGACAGAAAGGTACCACGTGGATGTGAGGGATAGGGTCACCTGAAAAGAGGTCTTCTCTGACCCGGTGGCGCAGCAGTTAAGTGCGCACGTTCCGCTTCGGCGGCCTGGGGTTCGTCGGTTCGGGTCCCAGGTGCGGACATGGCACCACTTGGCAAACCATGTTGTGGTAGGCATCCCACATATAAAGCACAGGAAGATGGGCATGGATGTGAGCTCGGGGCCAGTCTCCCTCAGCAAAAAGAGGAGGATTGGC